TACGTTTTATTTCCAATATTTATAAAATGTTTCTCTAGCTCAATCTTCAACCAAATCATTATTTTTTACAGCGCAATATTAGTACTACGACGGTTGATATTTATATTTCTAGCCAAACAATTGAAAACTGAACATTGTTTGTTGAAATTTTTAAGGGTTTTCAAAATATTCTCCATGATGATCAATATACTTTTACATTCGTTCCAGCATATTTGCACCAATCGACAAGAGCCTCGTTTTTGGCTTTGTCTAAATTTCGTGGGATGCCATTCCGATATTACTTTAGAATTTCGCGCACAGTATTGATATTTTCTGGCACAACTGATTTTGGACGACCTTCATGGAATTTGTCGGTGAGCGAACAGCGACTACGAGAAAATTAATCATACCAACTTTTTACGGTGCTAAGGGATGGTCCTTGTTCGGTTTATAATGATTTTAGCTCATCGATGCATTCTTTTCAAATTGTGAAAAATAATGGCAACAAAATGTTCACCGTTTAATTCCACTTTTTTTGCTGAAATGCGTTTTTAAAGCCACTGTGAACACCACTCATTTGGCTAGAAAGTTCTGAGTGTATTTATGGTAAAATATGTCAAACTTTCCAATGGAAACCTCAGATGACGCCTGACAACACTATAAGGCCAGAAATATAAATAGCAATCCTCGTAGTAATTATTCTATACTGTACTGTACCTAATTTTCTGTTTGTTATGATGTTCTAGCAAACGAGCGATCTTGAAAGAATAAAATGAATCTAAAAGGTATATTAATAGGTAGCTTCTGAAAAAATTATAAGTGTAATCTATATAAAAATTAAGTATTTTTATAATTCGAAACTTAAAGCTGCTGGGTTGCAAGCACAGATTATATTTATGCATGCCTCACACTCTCCATTCAATCGATACCCTAACGCGGTTATGGGCGCTGACTTGCCCGCGGGCAAAGCTCTTTGAAGCTTTTTATACATTTTGTATGGGCGCGTTCTGAGTAAAAGCTCTCTCCGCCCATCGCCGCCCTAATGTCTACCACATATCGCTCATTTACTTCATTATTAAGTGCATTCTTTTGCAACCGAGCTACAAAAGAACACTCGCTTAAATGGCGAAATACATGCAAAGCCACAACACAAACTCGGCTATTTATCCGAGTTCAGCCAGGTCGGTTAAAAATTACGCGACCTGAAGGGTAATGTTGTTAAGTGAAAAAACTGCTCTATTGTGAATTGTTAATGGGAATGTGGATAGGGAAACTTTTGTTTCCCTATATACATGACTTATATTTTAAATAAATATATATATTAGCAAATACCTTTGTATTTGATTTTGATTTTGTACCTAAATCCTGTTAAACTAATCACATGTTTCTTGCCAGATACCAACACAGGGTTGCTTAGGTAATTAAAAAGAAATGTTACCCGAGTTGAGCGTTCTTTTCCCGCTCGCTTACAAAAAACTCCACCTACTGCCATAACTCAAAAAACCAAAAGCATGATAAAAACAATGTTCCAAACGTTTCTTTTAATCTTTTGATCGGGAAAAATAAAAGCTACAATTTTTCGTAGTATATGGAAGGTAGCACTTACGAGAGCAAAATAATGGAAATTTTAATTTGATATAATGGCGGAGTATTTGCCCTCCAAATTTGTGTTCAAACGTTACCGAAAAAGAAGTGATTTTTTTATGATCATCAAAGTCAACAGATAAAATTTTCATGTATCGAGAAAAAATATATAAAGGGGTATTCCCTTAAACTCGTAAAAGCCTCGTAAACGTCATAAAGCTCGTAAAGCTCGTAAAATTACGAGCCGCGTAAAAGAAATGTCAAAATTTGTATGGAGATCTATTTACGAGCCCCTCGTAAAATTACGAGGCAAATTTGATGCGCAAATGACATCGTAAACTTCAGTGTTGAATAAAAGGAATGACTTTCATCCACTAACTGAACTAACATGGGTTTTCTGCTAATTTTCGGCATTTCCAATCTTAATTTTTAGCCAGTAGTGACAGAGACAAGATGGCGGGCTATTAGGGAAAATACTACCAAACAAAAACTGTCTCACAAAATCCCGGTTGATCTGTCAAACGGTCGCTTTACGCAACTATTAACACATTTTCACAAAGCGGGCGTTTCCATAAAAGCCTCGTAAACTTACGAGTTTTACACGGTTTAAGACTTTACGAGTTTAAGGGAATCCCCTAATTATAAACCAAACTAAAGTTGGGATCAAATTAAAAAAAAATTTATGTATATGTATGTTCGTTTGGGACTTTACTCTTTATTCCGTTGAAAAAGTGTTTTTTTAAGGCGATATTTTAGAATTTTATAAAAAGACGTAAAGCTTAAAACTAAGGCTATGCAGAACTTTCTTTCAGGAAGTACGAGGGGCAAATCCGATTTCACAAATAAATGTGAAAAGAAATATTAAATTTATATACATATATGTTACTATGCCGTTTTTGAAACAAAAATGCGAGAATTTGAATTGCCTAAATTTTTTCCGTTTTTGATTGACAGGTAGCGGTAATTTCTGCATACTTAACTCGATTTTGTATTATTTTGAACTATGATACTATTGATGTAAGTAGTTACTCATTCATTTTTTTTTCCTTTTCTGAAACTGAAATTTCTAAAACCTTTTAGAAAAAAGTAAAATGATTTACTATTTACAACTGAACTACATTATCGCCTTTATATCGATTTTCTCATGTGTAGGAAGTACTGTGCATTATGCAGCAGATAAATTATAAATATCCATGCAACTCTATCCATAACATCATTCAAAAATAAAACGCCGATATGAATAATTGAAAATTATGTAATTAATGTGTTTTCTCTCATTTATTTTGCTACACCCATAGAAAGGAAACGTGAATGGAATGTTATTCGATATCGGTCAGATGAGCTCAATAGCTCTTGGCTATAATCAGTCGCACATCCATGAGCACACACCAAAAAAATATTCGACACTAATCTGATGGTATTACATGCAAACATATGTATGTATGTATGTATGTATGTATGTATGTATGTATGTATGTATGTATGTACGTATGTATGCCTGTATCCCTTTTGACGACATTAGTCGTACTGGTTCGATTTGTTATTACTGTAACAACATAATTTAATTAAAACGATACAAATCGAATCGTATTGAATATTCAATGAAAGCCAAAAACGACCACACAAGAGAATAAAATTTCAGCGATACAAACGCGTATGGCGATGAATTTATAATGTCAGCATTGATGAATTTTAAACAGTTATAGCAATTTGTTTAGCGCGCTTTCGGGCGCACAAATCGGTTGGCGTAGGTGAGGTGAGGCAGCCTGGGAGCATCGCAGAGTAGGCAACATATTTCACGATGAGACTAATTTAATTGCATTTAATTAATAATGACAAATTAGACAAAAACATTATGCTAAATAATACATTTGACAGCAAACATGAAGTTATGACAGTTACAAATAAAAAAAAACCAAACAAACAACATATTTGTATACTTTGTATATAAATGTGTATGTATTAGGGCGGGTTGATTTGTATGGATGAAAAAAAAATTAAAAATTGTATAGCAAAAACGTAATCTACATTAAATTCTAAGAAAATTTTCTGAAGAAACCATGGGTCTAAAATCAAACCCTAATCCGCGCCTCTCGACTTGAAAATTTTTTACTTGGGTGAATATTTTTTTTGAATGAAAACAAATTTTGAGTGTAGAAAAAATATAAAGTGCAAAAGAACTACCTTACTAAACAATTTTATTTAGAAAATTCGATTTCTTTTTGGAAAATCCAATTTTTTCTAACATTTATTTTTTTTTTTTTGGCAAAGGCGGCCATATAAATTTTCAAGTCGGGAGGCGCGGATTAGGATTTTATTTTAGATACATGGTTTCTTCGGAGAATTTTCTTAGAATTTTATGTGGTTTACGTTTTTGCTATACGATAAAAAAAAATCAACCCGCCCTAGTAGTATGTATGTATGTACTACGTACACATTTTTAAACACATGCATGAATGCACATAATAATAGCTTATACATACATATGTACGCATTACGCGCAACCGTCGTTTTGTAGGCAGGCAATTGTGCAAACACGAAAGAGAAAAAAAAAATCTAAAAATTTAAACAGCAAACTGATTTGTTGGTATTTAATTCAGCAGCATTTAAATTTCAATCTCAATATTTTTTTTTATCGTTAGTCGGGCATTTTTTAAAAGCGGATTGAATTAACTGATTCATGCCAAAATGAATTGTCAAAATTAATTAAAAGCTTATAAGCTCAACACAATGCAGGCAATAAAAAAAACGTTTGTAGTTTTTTGCGGTATTTAAATATAATAATAAATAATAGTTCAGGCGAAAACAGCTTGATTTTTTGCGCCTTATCATTACATGTCTATTTCATTTAGATTAGAGTTAAATACATGTAAAATCACAAAACATAAAAACGAAAACAAAATTGGCACATAAAAACAATATTCAATTTGCACGATTTTTTATACAGCAGATATGGATATGGATTTGTTTTTACGGCCTTTTTTTAATTTTTCAGCTACCTTGTACTTAGTTATATGAAATAATTCGATGAAAATTTGTTGATTAAGAGTGCATAGAAAACTATTTTAAAATTTTTACTAGCACATCCAATGGTCAGGGGGCTTTGCTGCTAATAATTTTTTTATGATTTATAGGTTTCAGCTAATTGCATTGTCACATACATATTTCAGCACATAAAAACAATTTTGCACTTAAATTGTCAAAATACACATCACACTCTTTTTAAATACATAAATCGTGTGACAGCTGTCGCAATAACCAAACAGACCGACCGACCGCCTGCCCGCCTGCCCGCCTGCAGTTGGGAGGCACCAACCAACCGCACCGATTGCTTGCAAAATTTATTATCTCCAATTGTAAATAACTACAAAATCGAATGCCAAAGCTAACAGAACAGCTCACTCATAACAGTCTTCACTTTTTTCGTCCCCTTTCAGGTTTCGGCCAGGAGATGCCCGCCACCCGCACCACGCACATGGTTTCGCGCGCCGACTGGGGTGCGCGCCCATCAACGCTCGTCGAACACTTCAACGGCCCAGCGCCATATGTCATCATCCATCATTCGTACATGCCGAGCGCCTGTTACACGTCCGGCGACTGCATCAAAGCGATGCGCTCCATGCAGGATTTCCATCAGCAGACGCGCGGTTGGAATGACATTGGCTATAGTTTTGCGATCGGAGGCGATGGCTTGATTTATGTGGGACGTGGTTTCAATGTGATTGGTGCGCATGCGCCCAAGTACAATGACAAGAGTGTTGGCATTGTCCTGATTGGCGATTGGCGTAGTAAGTACATACACGCATACATACATACATATGTATGTATAGTAGCTAGCCAACTAAATTCTTTTCTTTTCCGATTCATTTCAGCTGAACTGCCCCCACCACAAATGCTGGAAGCGACCAAATCGTTGATCGAATTTGGCGTAGAAAAAGCTTACATCCATCCACAATACAAGCTGCTGGGGCATAAGCAGGTGCGTGACACCGAATGTCCCGGAGCCAGACTGTTTGACGAAATTTCATCGTGGCCACATTTTGTAATCAATCCCAACAATGGAACGGATAATGATATATTAAAGTGAGGAGGACGTCGAATGAAAATTAGGCGCAGGTTTACGCAGCGGCTTGCACCTCTTCAAAGTTCGCTCTTAATTTTAAGTAGCAAATCTATTTTTCAAAGCATAGCAACTATTACAAATACGACTTATAAAGCTAAATAGGCTAAAACAAATAGTAATACTTAGTAACCATAACTGTGAAACAAAAATGTGTAATTAATAATATGTCAACATTTGAGATCGACTTGTATAAGTCATACATGCATACGTACATAGTGCGTATATTCCAACTCGCTCCAATATACATATTTTTAAGAGCCTATGAGGTACGCTAAACAAACCTAAAAACCTTTACATAAATAAAATAAAAATAAAAATTAATTCGGAGCTTTCTTCGAAGAGTTTTAATAGCTTAGAGAGAGGGCGAAAGGGAAGGCAAGGGTTAAAGCTATTTATTAGTACTCTTATGTATCGATTTCACTTTGACTTATTTTAAATGCAGAATACAAACTCACGATGTCATTTAAATGCGGCACAGAGACGCATATTAGAGATGATGCTGTTGGTTGGGAATGGTATCAGAAAACAGAATAACAAAACAAAACTGCTTTTAAATTTCGACTTTGCATGTACATACAGTATCGGTCATATCTATAGCACGCCATTTCAAAGTGATATTGTGTGCAACTTATATTTATTTATTTATTTTTGAGAATTTTCAATTAAAATACAGTTCTTTCTCTAACAAACCCCATATAAACCCAAGTTTAACAATTTGTAGAAAACTTCAAAAAAGTGCAACAAATTTTCACCTAAATTTCAAACTTTTTTCTCAGAAGTGTTTGAATTTTTCTGAATACACAGTTTTATAGCCCAATCAATTTTAGTCTGATAATGTGCAAGTTTCAAGGGACTGAAAGTCACCGTTGATTTTTTAGAATTTTTTTCGCCAAAGGTGTTGCGGTTTTCATTCGTATACAAATAAATTGAGTTTATTCATTATATGGCAGCCAATGCGACAAAAAAAAATTTTAAAAAATTAACGGTAATTCGTAGCCACATGAAATTTGCACATTATCAGACTAAAATTGCAGTGGCTAAAAAACTGTGTACTCGAAAAAATTCTAACACTTCCGAGAAAAAAGTTTGAAATTTAGGTGAAAATTTGTTGCACTTTTTTGAAGTTTTCTACAAATTGTTAAACTTGGGTTTATATGGGGTTTGTTAGAGAAAGAACTATATTTTAATTGAAAATTCTTAAAAATAAATAAATAAACATAAGTGGCACACAATATCACTTTGAAATGGCGTGCTATAGATATGACCGATACTGTATGTACATACATACAGTGAACTCTCGATAATATTAACATCCTAACATATGAACATCCCTAAATATGAACACTTGTTCGCTACCATTGACTACTCTAAAATATGAACTTTAGGCAAAAGCTCCAAAATATGAACATTATTGATTTAAAAATTTTTTAACGAATTTCAAGCGCTTGGTAATTTGGGGAACCCCCTAGTTATTTGCATTGAAATGTTCATACGTATCGCTCGGAAATGCTTACAGTGAATAACTTCATATTCGGTTTTCTTATTGTTAAATATGCCTCAAACATGTGATCCAAGATTTTAAAGTTTTTTAAACGCAAGAAATCAACTTTATTTGTTAAACAAACTTGCTTTAGAAAAGAAATTTTAATATTGCAGTAGGTAAGTTTTGTATTTCGTTAATCAAGTCTCGGCTAATAGAAAGTTTATGTTTTGTATGAGTTTGTTTGGAAATTTTGAAAATCGGTTATGGTGGTAGACAAGAGGTCGGTTAAGGTATTACAATACCCTCCACAGGTAATTTTTAACATGATACAGATGATAACAGCTGCGTTATCGTAATGTGGTACAGTATACCACATTATCCTAACCATATATACCATATTACCCTCCAACTTTTGAAGTAGGTATTTTTTGGTTTCTTTTAATTTTTTTTCAATAACTTTGTTATTTTTGAATACAAGTAGTATTTAACTGAAAAATATTTTATAACTTAAGTTTCACTATTCTCGTATAATAAATAATAGTTACAATAAATCTCGTACATTTGCTACATAACTAAAAAAAAAATACCTATACCACAATACTCGAAATTCCCCTGCATATGCGGTTTGTTTATTTGTGTAACAAACAAAACGAATACAAGTTTCTTTTAAAGTTTCAAATAAAACATTTTTTTTTTTAATGAAACTTGTTGTTTTTTTAATTCTTGAGCGTTTCGTAAATATGAACAATCTCGCAAATTTAACAGTCTTGGTTTTAATTAGTTCATATTATCGCGAGCTCACTGTATGTGCATTAGGGTGGTCCAAAAATGGTTAAATAAACAATTGGGTATTATTATTGGAAGTCTCCGAGCGAAATATATTGATTTTTAAGAAGTCTGTACTGTATCTACGAAAAGTTGTTTTTCCCCTATATGAAATGCATGGAAAACTTTCGAGTGCTTTGAGCGACCTCTAAATATTTTTTTATTTCAAAATAAAAAATAGGGGCACTTTTTTGCGATATAGAACAATCCCAGGGAGTGAGACTATATTTTATTTTTTTTTTTTTACCACCCTAATGTAGGTGCACACTTCTACTTCGAACAAAATATGTATAAAAGAAAAAAGTCTAAAGTTAAAAAGTGCAATACCCCACCACTCTCTGTTTGCTTCCAACAACACAAAAGCAGAAGTGGCTGTCATTTAGTAAATCATCAAGTCCCTATGTACCAGCGATGTCTGCGGCTGTAAATTCAAGAAGTCGCTAGAATATATTCCAAGAAATTTGAATATAACCAAGGAGAAAAATCTAAAATTACAGTCACACATTTGCGTTTAACATGTACACTCCTCGTATGCTTTCCTTTTGTTTATTTAATATTCATTAATTTGTAACCGACTTACAAAAAAGGACGAGGTTATCAATTCGTCGGAATATATATATATTTTTTTTTAGGTGTGATTCCGCATAACTTTGGACCATATCAACCGTTTCTTTTTTTAAAGGAAACCTCAGAGGTAGTCCCATATTATTTGGTTTACATCCGATCATTGGATTACAAAGAAATTAACGGTACTCTTAAACTCTTATATGAGAATTGAAGTTGGTTTTGTTTTTTGCTCAAAAATTACTTGTTTCTAAAAATGTAGCATATTATACAACAAACCGCATGAAAATCCGATTATAGAATTTCATAAAAATTAAAAAATATATTAAAAATCCGCAAAGGGGTGCGCTGCTATCTTAATGACTGAATGAGGTAATAATATTTTTAGGAAAATTTCGGGCATGCAGTTTTGGAGTTTTAGTACAATAAAGTGCAAGTTTTAAGGAGTACAAGATCCCGTTGATTTTTAACAATTTTATTTTTGTTGGCAATTTCATGCATTCTTTTCCATACAAAGTAAATATGTCCGAAAAAAAAAATTACATACATGGAAAAAAAGCGCAGCACCGTCAAAAAAAAATTGTCAAAAATCAACGCTATTTTACAGCCACTTGAAACTTGCACATTATTATTACAAATTTGAGTGGGCTACAAAACAGAATATTTTCTAGAAATATTATTAACCCTTCGTTGACATTTTCTTAATTTTTTATACAATATGATTTGCACGATTTTTGTTTCAGAAAAATTCTTATAAAAAAAATCATGAATATTTAACAAACAGAAGGAAAACTGTACATACTAAGGATCAAAAGGGTGCGCTATTAAAATTACTAGGTGTGTATGTATGTATGAATGTACTTTATAAACGTATGTAAGTTTTCAAATTATATGTGTGCCTTTGGAGTTCTTAAAAGTTTGAGTTAAAAAATATATTTTTCGCATTTTTTACTCAAAAGCGTAACCATTCTAAATGCTAAAAACCAGAATGTCGCCTAAACTGTCGAATGTTATGGCGAAACTTTTGATGCTGCCAGACAGACACAAAATATGTGAACGCACGCATGTTAACGCACTGTGCCCGATTGCCGTTAAGTAACCACAGTGGCCATTGTGCCACATGCAAGCCAAAATACTTGAAAGTGTGTGTGCGGATTTTTTGAGACAGAAAGGTATTTTCTAAAACTTTTTTCCAGCGAAACTTTTCATACAAACACGACATTGTTTCACCATGTTTTTTCATCATTATGCTACTGAAAGTTGTTAACAAAAGCAGCAGACAGCGGCATCGCCTGTTTGTCTATGCAAAAATTATTATATTCAGAATTTTAAGAATTCCATATTTATTTTACATTTATGTACATTTGTGCGTACATTACGAACTTTTTTTCGCTATTTTTCGCTCACTCTTAATTGAGGAGTTGCGTGTTTTAGTTGTCTCCACAAGTTGGTTGCCCTTCTGCTTGCTGCAATAGCAATTCATTGTTCATTCTTTGTTCGAGCGAAATTAAATTTTTTTTTTAAGTTAGGCGCTAGCTCTTCTCAACGACATTTGAAAAAGTTTTCTCTGCTTTGCAAATAAAGCAATGAAGGTTATGAGGCGCAAGTGCCAACCGATATCTACGTACATATAAGAGCATACGTTATGGGGAAATTCTTAAAATTTTTTTAAGCGAAAGTGCCGGAGACGCCAATGTAGCTGCGACGAAAAATTTAAGCAAGCAAGGGAAGACAATGTGAGCCAGCCAGCCAACGAGTGCGCTATGCCAGCGATGCATAATTCTATTGCATACTTTTGGGCATTCGTGAAAGAAATATGCTGCATACGTGATGCCACCTGTTGCGAATAAATAGCATAGCTAAGCTGATGCAGTTGTATGCAATTTAGCAGAGTCGAAAATAAAACAAAAATGCAACAATTCGAGCCAACGCAAAGCGCATTAAAATAATATTCGCAATGAATTTGAAAACCGCACCGCGAAATTTAAAAAAGCCATTACATTTAAATTTGAAAACACAAAACTGGTTAGTTATTAAAAGCAAACTTTCTATGCGCTCCAATTCTAAATACACAATAATCTAAAAATAATTTTGTGAAGCGAATG